TATGTTTCGGCTTTCAAGAAGCCATCATCAGGTAAATACACTTAATATAGCAAAGTGGTTATTAAGTGTATTTACCTGATGATGGCTTCTTGAAAGTCGAAACATATAGTAAAGTACTACTTGATACTACAAACATATATTATTAATTGTTGTGTTGTGATGGCTTTCAATAAAAGAAGTTTATGTACTCATTCTTGTGTGTTAACTCTGCAGATTTAATTAACAGATTTTAACAAGAAAGAGGAAACCTGATAGGCTCAGCTGTAAACAAGTGACATGACATAACAGGCACCCACCATATGAAATACGTTCAGTTTTAATTGCATGAAGGGATTTAAGTGTTTACCAATGTACTGCCAACTCTCTGGTAATAGAACTTCAAGATGTAACATCACCAATACCTAAACCTGCGAGTAGACAGTATCCTGATCCTGTCCACATCTTCACACCTGATTTTCCAAGTCCATTTTCATACCATTCTCCTGTATCCTTCTGTCTTCCAAGTAGCAGTTTCCCTCATCAAAATTCTATATTAACGTCTCATTTCCTTCATCTGATTGACATATCCAGCACACTGCCATCTCCTTTCCTTCATTACTGTATGAGTAACATTACCAAGTGCCATGATTTGAAACTTCCATGGCAGTGAAGATTCTGGGTTATGACCCCGTGTAGTCTGATAGGCAGTTACAAATATTTTCTAGGAATGTAAGCCACCATCTTCAGTGTTATCTGAAGATTGAAGAGAAAGACAGCATAAAAAAAAGTAAAGGTATCCCTGTAACAGGCTGTGGAGGCCAGTAGGGCTGTGACGTGTTGAGGTTCCCACATTTTCTCTAGATAGTCGGCTCATAGATGGCGGCAAGGTTGTCAGCCCTACATGCCAGCCGCCCTTTGCCCCCAAGAATATTCCTGGTACTCATTTCTGTTAGAGGCTGAGTCAACCCCAGGGCCATAGTGCGGCTGGAAGGATTAGGTCAATTGAAAAAAATCCAGTGACCTCACTGGGACTTGAACCTGCAACCTTCTGGCCTCAACCAACTACACTACCACGTGCCCTCAAGAGACAGCATATTGCTCTGAAATGCTGGTAACCAGAGTACATGGAGACATCTTACACATTGCAGTGTTCTTATTAAATTTCACACCAGGTTTAGTAAAGGACTGTCATTGTCATTGATGTCTCACAATTTTCAGGTGCCAGCCAAATTGTGCTGAAACCCAAGACTACAGAGGAGGTATCAGCAATTCTCAAGTATTGCAATGCTGAGAACTTGGCAGTATGTCCACAAGGTGGCAACACTGGGTTGGTTGGGGGTAGTGTGCCTGTGTTTGATGAGGTTGTCATCTCCACCAGTCTCATGAACAACATTATCAGTCTGGATGAACTCTCAGGTACAAATCTCACGTGTTGCTTATGTCACTGTTGCACTGCACTTGGGTCAGTCCATATATTAGACCAGTAAACAAACAAAAAACTCTGTGGCCTGTAGTCCGCAAGCGAACTATGCTGACCGAGCGGCCGCTGCTTGTCGGCGAAGTTAGTGCCAACTCTTGAGGAAAATATTATGGTGTGTCATACTGCAGATGTAGAATTCAGTATTATCTGTACTACGAGTACTATCTTATGGGATATAACACCATGTATTCCATTGAAAGTCAACTGATATTTCAGTGGTTTCTTGCTCACCTCATTCTTCAGCTCTGAAGCTAAAGGCGATGTTTTCCTCTGAAATATCAGTTGACTTTCAATGGGCTGGATGGTATTATATCCCCAGTGATATAACTGTTCGTTACCACTGCTTTGAGATCCTCAAATCCTACTTACTTATATTAGTCTAAAAAATGTCAACTCAAAGCAAGTTAGTTCACTGATGTAGAACTCATTCAGAAGGTATCACTTCAGAACTTGCTTTGGTTGTTGTGACTGAGGTTTTCATGCCTTTTCACGGTCCTAGTTGAGTGCTGGAATAGGATCTTGTATAGACCAGGGTCACTTGCTCCTACAACTTTTCCAGTTCTGTACTTCATGTCTTATTCAGTGGCATGACTTAGCAGCTAAGTAATAGTATACATTCATTCATCTGTAATCTGTCAAGATGACAGGTCCACAGTCTCTTCCAAAACAGTTCCTCCACTTGATGCGATCTAGAGCTTTCTCCTTCAAATGAAAACATTCTCTTCTGTCCCCAAGGTCATCCAGCATCTTCTTACGTCNTTCTTCTTGCTAAATGCAGCTTTTGCCATGGCAAATAGTATACAAAATGAATAAAATAATGAAATATGGATGAGCTCACATGAAGATAAAAAAAACTTGCTTCACTGTTCCCTTAAAACAATAGTAAAATATTCCAAAATATGTTTGCAATTGTGAGGTATCATGGAACCAACAGGCATCCCTAATGTCTCTGATTGTTAGTGGTGAGGCACAGTTTCCATATTTCTATTTTTAGCTGCACATGTACATGTTTTCATTGACCCTCACAGGTGTTCTGGTGTGCCAAGCAGGCTGTATCCTGGAAAATTTGGACTCTTATCTCTCTGAACGAGGTTTGATGATGCCTCTGGACTTAGGAGCCAAGGGGACATGTCAGATTGGAGGAAATGTGTCTACCAATGCTGGGGGCATCCGGTTGATTCGATATGGCAGCTTGCAGGGTAGCGTATTGGGTATTGAGGCGGTGAGTGGTTACTTTATGAAACAGATGACCAGATCATCAATAAGAAAATCTCCAGTTGTAGACATTTTATGAAAGATGTAATGGGAGATAAGCTGCCTGGCTTTAAGTTCAATGACAGATGCCTCTTGTTATCCTTGTATCTGTTTTCCTGGCCTCCCTGTGCCTAGAAAGGTGAAGAAATCTATGCCTGACAGACACTTATATATAAATTACTGTATTGTTATTATTTTTCATTTGAGCCTTGGGCTCCTCAGTCACAGTTCTACATATATTTGTCTCCAGTTATATGTTTTGAGTAAATACTCTCAGCTATCTCAGATCTTCTCCCTGCCATCCAGTCAGTAGTTCAGGTCTCTTAACACTCTTCAGACTGTACACTTTGTTTATTAGGCTTTATTTCATCCACTCCTATAACATGGCAGTAAATCTCAATTAGCCAGCTTGTTAATATCACTGATGTTAATGTGTTGCAGGTGATGGCTGATGGTGAAGTGATAGACTGCTTGAGCTCGCTGAAGAAAGACAATACAGGCTACCACCTTAAACACTTGTTCATTGGGTCAGAGGGCACACTGGGTATTGTTACTAAAGTGGCCATCCAGTGTCCACCAAGTCCCAAAGCAGTTAATGTTGCATTTCTGGGTATGTTTCATGTTTAGTAGTCATGGATTTTCTGAGAAAAGATGCATCAACTGGTGTTGACGCATATTCTTTTAATGCTTCTGTTTATGTAATTGGACCTCTGTTCACACAAGATATTTATAAAGAGTTTGACTCTTGTATGATGAAACTCCATTTTTATGTACATTTACATACTACACTGCTGAGGACTTGAGGAAATCCTATAGGTTTTTTTGTTCTGCTATCTGCTATCATCTGGAGTTGGGTTAGCTCAGTCAGTATAGCAATGGGCTATGCGCTGGATGGCCCAGGTTTGATTCCTGGCATGGCAAGATTTTTCTCTTCTCTACAGCATCGAGATCAACTCTAAGGCCCACCCAGTGAGTGGTGGGGGTGATTTCCCTGGGGGTAAAGCAGCAGGGGTGTGAAGTTGACCACTCACCTCCATCTACTGCCAAGGTCAAGAAGGGTGGCTTAGTTCCAGTATGTCTTTGTCCTCTGTTAAGCTGCCGTGACTCTGTAACCGTTCAAAAACTTGATGCATATTAGTGGGTCTTCTTTTACTTGAAATCACTTGATTAATGAACCCACATAGCTTGGCAGACTCCTCTTGAACCTCCCAGTAAGTAGCCATTCTTGTAGAAGGGACAGGATGGCACTCAGGGCTGTCATTCATGAGTTCGTGGTATTGATCCTTTGGCTTCTGATATTAGAGACTTTATTAGTTCTATTGTGGTCACCTGATAAGTGGCAACAATTTTCTTGCATCAGCAGTAACAATGATATGAATGAAATTCTGCTGGTGTCAATATAATTTTGAGGCCTTACAGGTCTTACCCACTGGGAGTAGAGGCTTCAAAACCATCAGAATTTGTGTTGGACAGACCTCAGCTGGAACATGTTCTCTTCGTTGTTCCATCTCTTCTACTGTTCATTCCAAATGATCTTCAGCATTTTTCATTATCATTAACATCATAAATTTTACCGTCACTGTACAAGATACATCAATGTAAGATTTGAGGCTTTCACGGTGGTAACTATGAAGAAAGCAGTCTTCTGGGATTTGGCACCGTGCATATGTGGTGTCAGCAGTCTGCTTTAACCGGTTCTCACGGTCTCTTCGCTTGCAGACTTCTTATATTTTTTCTTCTACCCTGAAGATGGAGGCGATACGTTCCTCCGAAACGTCGGTTAACACCACACATGCACGGTGCCAAATCCCAGAAGACTGCTTTCTTCAAGATACATCAATGTCAAATATTCTACAAAATAAGCACAATATCTACTGTTTTACCAGCAGTGTGTTCAGAACCAAATGTTTTGAAATTATGTGTCGTACCTTATAGGCTTGGACACATTTGATGATGTTCTGCGCACGTTCAAGGAAGCTCGAAGTGGGTTGGGTGAAATATTGTCTTCGTGTGAAATGATGGACATGTTGGCACTGGATGCTGCCACAACAAATCTCAATCTTCAACGACCAATTGGAGAGTTCCCATTCTACATGCTGATAGAGACATCTGGAAGCAATGGGACACACGATGAGGAAAAGTTGACCAGTTTCTTGGAGGGTTTAATGGGTAGTGGAATCATTCATGATGGAACTGTGGCCAGTGAGCCATCTAGGATTAAGGTAAGATATAGAGCTCCGATAGATGTGTCTATGAAGAAGGAAGCTACAAGCTGGATGGCTGAGGTTTGATTCCCAGCAAGAACATTGAGAATTTCCTCTGCCGTTCAACATCTGGAATCTAATGTCCAAAATACAATAAAAATTTAATGGTTTGAAGGACAGCATTCTCTTTTCTGCTAATATCAGGATAATATTAAAATAGAGAAAATTTTTCAGAAGATGTGAATTGAACTAGCTCAGAACTTGGTCCAGTGTTTTCATGAAGACAGTGATGAACCTATGGCCTCCATAATGCCATTTTATGAATACAGTTGGATAACCGTTGATTCCTTACAAAATGACCCTGTGCCGGAGGGTTCTTAGTTACCATATTTACTATGATATAGATCCTGTGAATAAAAGACAGTCACTTTCCTCACATTTGTAGAAAAATAATGTGGAATGAGGGGCCTCAGTTAGTAACACTACCTTCTGCTCTGACCTCACTTTGTGCTCAGCATGTACTTCATATTGTAATGCCATGAGCGCACATGAGAGAATGGCCTGCTGCATATACATAGCAATACTGGTCATAATAATATTGATCATTCATGACATACACATTTGTTCAAGTGAAGTATTTTGCTCTGTTCAGAATTGAAAGATGACGCATCTGTTTTCAAATTCTAAATTATGAGAAAGCCTCATTGCATATGCAGCTAGTGGCAGGTACAGTGAAATTAAGTGGTGTGAGAAAGGTTTAACAGAGATTTATTACAAGACGTGACTTAGTAAAATTAGCATTTCAGTGAAGGATTAGACTGTGACTGTAAGCCTCAGTTGTGATGATCATGTAATTAGTATGTCTTTTTGTCAGTCAATATGGCAACTTCGTGAACTCCTACCAGCCAGCCTGACAAGTGAAGGCCTCTTGAATTCTTATGACATGACTCTTCCGATGAAATATCTGTATGATCTGGTGCCTCTGGTATCAGAGCGCCTGGCTGGAACATCTGCCATCCGATGTTGCGGCTTCTGTCACCTTGGTAAGGGAGGACAGCAATGCTGAGTGCTAGTCCATCCCAAGTTTTGTCTAGCTATGTTCATTGTAGTAGAAAGTAACAGACACATCTACTGGATGTGTACGCAGCTCTGCATTGGTTCCTGTAAGTGAAGAATAGTTTGAAGTGTAAGCTGAACATCTGAACATTATTGCTAATTACTGTGGTCTTAGCATTCATACATATCTGATTTTGTTGTTTTCTGCCAGACATATGATGGAGAGTCAGTAAATGGATATAAAATGTAAAACATGTGATATTTGAACCTGAAAAAAACATTTATTGCTCAACATATCCTCCATCAACATTGATACACTTGTCCCATTGCTTTATCGGTGCATCAAAACCCACAACATAGAAGTCTTTCGACTGTTGTCTCAGCCATTTCCTCACTGTGTTTCAACCTCTTCATCATCATTGAAACGTTTGCCACCAAGGTGATTTTTTAGTGGACCAAACAGATGGAGTCACTAGGGGCCAAGTCTGGGCCTTGAGGCGGATGTTGAAGAAGCTTCCACTCTTCTTGAATTCTGCCCTGGGTTGCTTGGGCTGTATGGGGTGTGGCATTGTCATGATGAAGCAGTGCCCATCTTTCCATTTGGCCTGCATGTTTCCTGTTGACTGTATCCCAAAGATTCAACAAAACTTCGCAGTTTGGTGCAGAATTCACATTTTCACCATACTTCTGAAAATGGGCAAACAATACTCCCTGAGAATCCCAAAACATGGTAAGCATAACCTTCCCAGTGGATGGCATAACCTTAAATTTTGAGCTTTCTGGTTGAAGGTAAACTAAGATACAGTTCTTTATTAGAGTCTATTGCAACACAACAATACAATGGTCAAGGCTAAAATTACCATACCATGAATATGGTAATCATGTGTTTGCCTGATGATCGCTTTAATAGCCGAAACATGTAGCTAAGCTAATTTTAGCCTTGACCATTTTATTGTTGTGTTGTGATGGACTCTAATAAAGAATTGTATATAATAACACAACAGGATGCACAAAATGTAAACTAAGATATCTGTTGTGAATTGAAGCATGCTTTGATTTGGGTTGGTAGTGATGCACCCATGATTTGTCCCCAGTAACAATCCTGTTAAGCATATCTTCTCCTTCATCTGCATACCATGAAAGATGTTGCAAGGGCAGACCCATTTTGTTAATTTTTTCTTGATCTTTTAGTTCTCTGGGCACCCATCATGCACGCGTTTCTGAAACTTCAAATGATCCTGCACTATGTTGTATGCTAAACCATGAGAACATCCCAGTGCAGTTGCTACACTGTCTATTGTTATCCGCCTGTCAGATCAAATAAACTCTTCCATCCGCTTCACAGTTGCTTCTGGCGCAATCTCAGCAGGGTGAGCTGGTCAGGCATTATCTGTGACTTTTGAACGTCCTTGAGAAAATTTCTCTACACAGTTGTGAACCACTGTATGTGACAAACTCCTCAATCACTGTCACCATTTTGACTACTGAAACCAGCCTCTGAAAATGCGAATTCACGTCTGCTACCGAGACTGTCATGAAGCTGGACTGTGCTGCTACCTAGTGATACACATAGAAAATCTGTTACCTCCTTTACAGCTGTTTTACTTTGATTTGTGACCTATTTACTGACTCTCTCTCATATTTCAGACTTTGTTATTTCATCAAGTACTCACAAGAAGAACTACATATATGAACCAAACCATACACTCTGGAAATACTGAAAATATTGGTCATAAATGCTGAGAGAAATTTTTCTTCAAAATGCAGGGATATGCTCCTTTTCTGTTTCCATGGGGGGTTTGGTCATACAGGCAGATTTTTACTTGTTGTTAATGATACAAGGTATATCAGAAGTTTGAGTTACTTTATCTTCAGGTTCGATCCCAGGTCTGGTCAAGTTGGATTTGTGGTGGACAAAGTGGTGCTGGTACAGGTTTTCTCCGAGTACTTCGGTTTCCCCTGCCAATCTTCATTCCACCAATTGCTCCACAATCACCCTCACCTATCATCTGGGGCTGGTACAATATGCCAGAAGTGGCCGCAATACAAAGGACTTAGTCCCACCCCATTAGCAATAAGAAACTCATATATAAGTGTGAAGAATATCAGGACCCTCCCCCCTCCAACTTTGGATTATGCATTAAGCTGCAGGTCCCTTCTGCCAGTCATTGACCACCGTACTACTGGAGTAACAATCTGCTCTGTGGATGCCTCAACCTCAGAAATAGATTCTTCACATTTCTTAGGTGGGCAGAGGCAAGATCAATACAGACCATATCTGGAGGCACCATAAAAATAACAATTTCATTTTACTTATGTTTTGTGTTACAAGAACTAGGATTGCATTCTGGACCTTTCTTATTACTGCTGTAGTGTGCTAACCCCTGGATGACCAAGGTTGAGCAATATTTAAAAAGTGCTTGGTTCCATCTTGATTTACTGCTCAAAGAGACAAAATAAAATCTCAGAACTATGACAGGCATCCACATGAAGATGGGAGTACAGCCAAGCCCTCGGAACCCTGCATACATCAAAAAGTAGAGTCTCATAATGATAATGATCACTCATTATCTTAAGGAACCAACACACACTCACTTCCCAAAGTAAGAATCCAAGATGCTTTAAGATAAAACTGCACATAGTTCTGACAGACTTACAGAATTCATCCAGTCTTTTCTTTAGCCTCTTACCACATCTTACTGGAAAGAAGACAACCACAGTAAGCTATCCATTTTACAGCAATGTTGAACCATATTTCTCAAATTATGATTAATTGGGAAAGTAGAGCCACTCTTTTAAATAAAGAGCTGACTGACTTGATGAAGAAAAACTAATTAACAGAAGGCCTGAGTGTAGGACAGACTCAATGAATATGGACAAAATATGAATGAATGAATGACCATGTGAGAGATCAGTTGCTTGTATCCTGTCAGATGGTAGGGCTACGCTTTATATGGGACCTAATCTGTGAGAGATGCACACAGTCCAGCAGATGTCTCTGCCTGCCTGTGTCATGTTATTGACTGACTGCTTTGTTTCCACAGTTAATGTGGAAACTTCGGGAAGGGATAACAGAAGGCTTGCTTCATGATGGGTATGTGTTTAAGTATGACATCTCCCTGCCTCACAATAGCTTCTATGCCATCATTCCTGAACTCAAAACACGCTTACCAGCCGAAAAGGTGGGGCGGATCTGTGGCTACGGTCATGTAGGTAGGTTTGAAGCAGGCATGAACATTGCATGGAAGATCCTCTGTTTAGGACACACCAGTCTCTCTCTGTATCCAGCTTCAGTATTAACTTCTCCTTTGCTGCATTTATTTGTGTATTTACTTTGGATTTCACATAATCCTTGCAAGATGATTGTTTATTCAGTTATTCACAAATTTTAAGCAGACGATTCCATCCATTTCTTGATTTCCGTAAAATGCATGACTGTATACAGAGAAGATTATAGTCTCTATGTAAATAATATGGGAAGCCTTATTGATTTTGTCCACAGCTTTTTTATTGTTGCAGAGGTAGACATGAACTTGAGATTTAAACATGTGGACAGTCAGAAAAGTGAACTTCTGTACAATGCTTAATATAGCAGTTTTTTCCCACAGGTAGACTGGAATTTCAATAAAAATTCTCAGAAATGTCCAGCTGGTGACATTCATGCATCACAGGTTGCCATACAGATTATTAACTCTGGATTGCAAAGAGTTAAAGACTTCTCAGAGGTGTGGGTTACCTCTGTTCCTGGAACTTTGTGATCCTTAACTGTAATAAGCCATGCATACTGCGATTGTGATGACATGTGCACAGCTCTGTTCTGGCTGCCAACACTTGTAGTAGCAGGGGGTTTAGGTTCTTTGTTCCTACATGATGATGGTTAACCAGTCCCACAACAGAAAGGGAAACTGATATTCTGAGTGGGCATGGAGACTTGTAGAAACTGTAATCGCCCCTAATCACATGACAGATGCTCGCTTCTTGTATATGTTTGCATGTGTTGTCATGTGGTTTGTTCTTTTATTGTAGAAACTGTACATTAGCAGTAACTGTGCTTGTTAACCCTTAACTGCAATGTTAACTGAAAGTGAATGTAAAAAAATTTTGTGAATAGATATAAATTCAAGCATGCGTAGTTCAACATCATTTTTATCTGCCATTTTCTCTGTTCTTGTAATTAAAAGTGTCATACAGTATATCATTCCTTTATTTAAATTGATTTTTAAATATTCTCATTCTGTCTTATTAAGTCTGTTACTATAATGTCATCCATTGTGTATTGTGTGTGTACATTTTTATTGTTAATTCTCTGTTTTTTCTTTTGACATGACTTAAAAATGCAGTTCTTTAGAAATGCCAAAAGCATGCAAGATTAAATACAGCAAATATAAAATATTAGAAAAGAATTCATTTATACTCAGTAAATAAATGTAGAAAAAATTATAGGAGAAGGTAGTTGAAACATGTAATCAGAGAGCTGCAAAGTTAGTATAACAGTACAGCGTGAAAAGACAAAGACTTATTGTAGTACAGTCCTTTGGAAGATGCTCAATAAAATCAGAACAGGCACATAGGCCAAATCAACAGCTTACAGATGATTATTTTTAAATAATTCATGAACTGTTTTTCAGGTGATGGCAACCTGCACTTGAACATTACAACTCCAAAGTTTGACCCTGCTGTCCTGAAAATTGTTGAGCCATTTGTGTTTGAGTGGACATCCAAGCTGAAGGGCAGCGTGAGTGCTGAGCATGGTATTGGCTTCAAGAAGACACAGTATATCCACTTTTCCAAGTCACAGAGTTCCCTGAACCTCATGAAAGACATAAAGAAGCTGATGGATCCCAAGGGTATTCTGAACCCATACAAGGTTCTGCCAGCACAACACTAAGATCAGTGCTCCCAGCATAACCAGTTATGTGTATTCAGATGGCACACCAGTGCAACGCCACATGGTGTGAAAACTGTTGGATTTTAACAACATCCTGCTTCTGTTACAAATTACTGGACTGCATCATTATCACCTGAGGAGAGAGATCTGTCTAGTGTTTACATGACTGTAAACAGTAGATAGCTGACCGAAAAGTAATGCCTCTGATGTTTTGTAGGAGTTCTACCTTTCTTATTTACAGAATACTTGGTAGATGGTGTCAGTAATCTATATACCTTCACTTCTTCTTGTAATGGCTGTCTTTATGTACTCTGAAGCAATAAATAACCTCAATTATAGCATAGGGAAAACTGTTGCATATCCAATGCAAATATTTTTCTTTGCAGTTTTCTTGCCTTTATCATTCAAATGAGAATGTGTTCTTCTGTTGATTGAATATATTGGAATTTTAATATCAAATAAATTGTATGTTACTCCATCATAAGATGATAGTACTACTAAAAATTAATCAATTTCTAGTACTTCTGGCTGAGAAAAGTTTTACACCAAACCGATTAGTTCAGTGACAATGACTTGCATTATGGAAATTTGGAGTTGTCTGTCCTAATTGAAACTTTTCTTTCAATCCTGTCCAGTGAATTCCAGAAATATGGCACTAATTCTTCCTCCACATCCCTCCATACTTACCACATATTATCCTACCATTTCTCTACTGACATCACATAATTGCTGGAATTGTTAAGAGCATGATTTTAAACCCAGGACACAATGCTGACATTGACAATTGCGAGCATGAGCTGTCCAATTTGAGACATTTTGACTAGATGTTGCTCTTGCAAGATGTTCTTTATCCAGTCTAATGTTCATGGGAAAAAAGCTTTACAGTTTGAAATGCTATGTTACAAACATTAAGTATTACCATTACTGATATACAGGAGCAAGTATAACTGCTAGCTTATATTGATTTTGCGCTGTGAAACCTGCTTGTGACAGACCTGGAAACCTGTATATAATGTTCCATTCTTCAGGACTAAATATTTATGAAACAAGAAACTAATCTGCAAAACTGTTTTAGAATTCAAACAAGATGGTGCATATTACATGAATCAGTATCAGTCACTTTCAGTTTAGCGACACTTTTTAAAAACAGGAAACTGTGGGCCTGAGAGAATTTATAGACTAAGTTTATAAAGTTTTTATTATTTCAAGTAATTGGTAGAGAGCACTGTGTCTGTATACGGTTTTGTCAAGTTTTGGGAACACTGCTGATGCCTGTTTTATTAGACTTATGAAGATCTTATGACATGATAACCTTGTAATTTTGACTATCTCAGCATGACCAACCATGACTCTTGTCATATTTAAGTCCCAGTATAAATGTTGCTGTATTCCTGGTAGAGGTGTCAGAAAAGTTCTGTGGGGGCAGGAACTTTAGTGACTGACACCCAGTTGTACATTTTTGGGTTGAGAATGAACAGCCTTCATGGCCTCTTTCTTCTGATGTCCCTTAAGACAGGTTTCTGAGGTTATATTGGTGGAAATGTGAAATACTGATGGTCATATTTTTGTATGTGCTTAGAATATATGAACAATTTATGATACTGTGCCAATATTGTACATTGCTATATTTCAAGATGTATAAAACTGCTGTTTATATAGATATGAGTTTTATTCTGCAATATGTATATAGAAACCCTATTCCCAGCTGTAATGTAACCCAGCACCATGGCAGTAACCTGAAGGCTGAACACCACTAACACCAAAGTCCATTACTGGATCTAATCCTGATACAGTTTAGATGGACCCACATTAATTAAAGCTATTTCCTTACAATTTATTTTAACATCATCTTCCCAAAACTAACCCAGTTGTCCATGTTGTTTCTGTCTACAAGCTTTATTACATCTCCCATATATTATCCAGCCCATTCAAATATTCATTTAATCAACCCAAATGATGTCCATGATTTATGCTAACCGTCTTACAGTGCACACACTTTTTCACCTTACTCTTCTCTTTTACACTATATGTTTCAGCACTAATGCGCCATCTTCAGGTGCGTCTCTATGCACGTCAGCACATTAGTGCTGAAACATGTAGTGTAAAAGAGAAGAGTAAGGTGAAAAAGTGTGTGTGCACTGTAAGACGGTTAGCATAAATCATGTACATGGATCAGTGCAACAGGACGCTAAAATATAACCCAACCCAAATGATGAATATAAATTATTTTTTTGTTGTGTTAACACAATTCCCCACATATTTCAACCCAGGTCAGAATCCATGATGTCTATACAGTGGCCGTCTTGTAGTGCACTCAGTTTCACCTGTTACTTCACGACATGTTTCGGCAACATAGTGCCATCATCAGGTGCCCTAATTACGCTAATCTGTTGCATTGCTTTCCATTATATGTCTTTATAAAATTATTTAAAAACTATTTAAAAAGTGCGTATTTGTCAACTATAATAAATTTACACACACTAAAACTTAAGATTATTCATCTTATGTGTCTTAATTAAAACTTGTGTGTGGTTCTTCCACTATGGGGGTCGTTTTTCTTATATTCTGTGTATTCCCATAGTGGAAGAACCACACGCAAGTTCTAATTAAGACACATAAGATGAATAATCTTAACAAATTTTAGTGTGTGTAAATTTATTATAGTTGATGAATACGCACTTTTTAAATAATTTTATAAAGACATATAATGGCAAGCAATGCAATAGATTAGCGTAATTAGGGCACCTGATGGTGGCACTATGTTGCCGAAACATGTCGTGAAGTAACAGGTGAAACTGAGTGCACTACAAGATGGCCACTGTATACATATCATGGACGAAAATCAGTGCAACAGGACGCTAAAATACAACACCAGGTCAGAATATTTCCCTTAGTATTTTATTGTCAAATGTAATTTGTGTTCTCTTAGGGTTGTATGTTTCATGAAAACATACAATGTACCATGTGGACACATGTAACCAATTTTCTATCCTTTAATATTCTTTCATCTGCTTATAGAGGCAAATAGTTATAGTGTCATCCCATGTAATGCTCCTAGATTTAAGGTTTTCCTTCATTTAAAATTCAATTTCAGTGATCCCATCTCAGTAACCTCACCGTTAAATATCCACCATTTCCTGCAGTTTGGTATTCAATTTCACTCTTCCAAAACAAACTGTAAATGATAGTTTCACTGTATTACAAACTAATATTTATGTAAACTACTAATCTATTTCCATGCACAGTTCCTTCTAGTACAGATTTCTGTTATCTCAAAGCATCTCACATAGCAGTGCTAATATGGAACAGTGAAAGGCAGAAATAACCCATTTATTTAGTGCCTTGCCCTGATCAGTGCAATATATTGTGGTCATACTGGACACTGGCCACTATCTGAAATGTTACATTTAATACAAATGACATTTTTGGGGTGAGCTATCTTCACTCTTCAGGTCTTGAGGATTGTAGTACTGATATAAGTACTTCCTCTCTCCAGCATTAATGACTGACCAGAAATTACCTCAGAACCCTTTGAACCCAGTAAATTTGTGTGTAAGCATTAGACCACTGGGGTAACTCCTGTTAATGGTACATATTTAGGAGTTCAAGGTTCAATCTCAACTGCTGCCACTAATACTTAACATTAAAAGCAATAAAACCCTGATGGTATAATAATTATCAATTACTTGAAGGTGGAGTAAAGCCAGTTTCCAAAATGACATGTATAGTACTATAGAACCCTGATTATCCAACTCTCTTTAAACAATGAATTATGAGACTTTACTTCGTATGTATGACTTTTCATTTATGAAAGTTTAATTTTGCATTTATTTTTGATATTGATCTTAGCAACTGAATATTATTTACAATTTACTCTTTGATAATAGAGTTGTGAACAAATCTGTGTAGATATTTGCTCTATGTTTTTAATGTTGTTTGAATTATCAAATATTTTTGGTTATTCAGCCACCCTGTAGTTCAGTTTAGGTGGGATAATCTGGGTTTGGCTGTAAATATACTTCAGAGAGTGGACAATGTTCAACATAGTTCTGACATAATGACTCAACTATTGTTACAAATCTTAAATGAACATTATTTTTACTTTATTTTGAATCTTGGCTAGCAACCATGGTTTTCCTCGGCCTGCGGGCAGATTCTGAAATTTCACTTTATATTGATAGTATATATATTACTTTCTTCCACAACTCTCCTTACTCAATATTCATAACTACCTTCCTGTCTAATCTTCAGCTTTGCATCATTTTTAGGTGATACAGCATATAAACAAATGTATTTTATATCATGTACAAATTTTTTGGAGGAGGAGCAGTTGTTGTTAAAATGGATATATTGATTTGAACGTCATGTAAAGTCAGATGCACATTAGACCAATACTGGGCAAACATCTAGCATAGAATCCTTAGCAAATTTAATCAAAAACCAACTGGTAGGTTTAAAGACAAAAGAAATGAATGGACAGACATGGCCTCCCAAAAATGTGTTCATTTCATGAAATTGAGACATTTGATGAAGCATGCTTTCATAATATGGGTTCTAATCTTTACCATTGCCTGGTTTTCCTAATCCAGGTTCGTCAGTTTTCCTCAATTCCTTTAAACGAATGCTGTGGTACTTCCAAAGAAATGGGTCATGAACACTTCCTGTACTCTGTTCACGGTTCAAATTATCACAAAACTATACATTGAGCACAACGAAACTAGGTAGGAATTCATTAGGAAACCTGTGAGATTTGGCATTTTCATGGTGATGGCTACAAAAAAACTTTTGTGTGATAGCATGTAATCTGGTAGCTGTTTGGTAACGTTCCTCCGAAAACTCTATAAATATTACCAGACTGCACAGCGTCACATTGCAGAAGACAGTAATGTTCAGTGCAAAGTCTGTTCATCACAATTCAAGAAAGCAGAATATTATTCTTTCATCAGAAAATAGGAATATTACTTTAACATATATTTTTATAGTTGTTATGATAGAGGCCTACACGTTATTAGATATGTAATTTACATTCATAAGAAATTTGGAAGTGTAAGCATAATGTAACAGTTCTGATGCGTTTCCTCCCTTCCGTTTATCTCGAGAACCAGAAGACTTTCAGGATAAGTGTTTTGGGCATAAAATATGAACTCATTTCTTTCTAAAACGTTTGTTACAAACATTTTTCGCGTTTATAGACATGAGCAAATTATGCTATAGATGCACTCAGAAATGTATGCAATCTTAACGTAAAGTGGCCGTTATTGTATTTCGATTTTAGCCAGAACTGAGTTGTGACGACACATTTTAGCAGAACTCCTTCATATCAAATTTTGTGAAAATCCGTTCAGTTTGTTTTCGAGGTGTTACAAGCGGACAGAAACAAGAATTCTTCCAACTTATTGTTGTGAAACCAATAAAGACGCAATTTAATCTCGTTACATAAAGCAAGGCGAGAACAATGTGCAATTTTTATGTTCCGTATGAATGTACGTATATGGGGGTAGGCCTTCTCGGCCCTTGCACCGCGACCTACAGTGGTCTATTGTGCTTTTTTGTTCCGTATACTCGACTTTTGCTTGTATCAAGGACGTGACGCTAGAACTGTACGCACGCATATATTTAAACTGTGTTCTTAGTAATTAGCTAGGCCTTGAGAAAACCGGCCGATCGACGGGATGTGGTTTATAAAATGCGTCTATCGCTGAGTACTGATTGACTTCCGTTCCGATGCGCGAATACGGCAACAGAGAGAAGTTAGCATCCGGAGAATCAACTTGGTAAACACACATTAGTGTGGTTTCTTAAGACGCTTAAGACAAGCAAACCAATCTCAGCCTGCTTCGTGCTCGTACAAGTGGGAAAAGTGCCCTAACGTAGTGCTGAAGGTTATTAGGGAACAAGAACTTGCTTCATTATTCGAAATCGTGGCCATCCTCTTGACTTTTCGTGCACTCTCATCAGCTGACTCTCCAAATCGGTAAGATTTATTTTGTAAGGCATTTCTGAGGTTTCATCACACATAACAAATTAACAATATCCAGGGCAGCTACAGGATTTTCCTAGACTATATAGTGGTTATTACCGAAGTGAACGGAGAAGTTCATGGAGGTAGGCCTAGGCCCACTGGGGCTGTAGTGCCAAGGGGGGAAAAAATATAGTGGTTATTAAGTTGCTCGAGAACCTCTCTGGAATCTTACAACAGAAGTAGATACTCGTAATCTATTTAAAATTAATATTTTTACTCATTTATGAATACGTCTCCAAAGGGTTCTTTCTTCATGACGTTTTCTTTAAGAATGTTGGTATGTTTTCCATGTGTGCTACATGTCCGGCCCAATTGATCTTCTTTTACTTATGCTAATCACCGCAACAGGAGACAAAGGGTAGAAGGGGACTACAAATGAAGAAACCGCTCATAATGTAAGGTTTTCAAATCTTCTGTTACTTTATTTCATTCAGGTTCTCCCCAATAGGCTATTATTCTTATCCCTTCTAAGAACGCATGAAGAAAAGAAGAGAGAGAGAGAGAGCTACTAAGTAAACGGCCTGGTACGTCAGTTTCATGCGTGGAAGTTACGCAGCACATGGGCAGTTCTCATTGGCCTGAGTGCTCAAGGAAAGAATACACTTAACGTTTGAAGCACGAATTTATTCTTCTGCACAACAAAAAATGAATTAAAATTTTGGTTGGGAAAGCAGATGGGAAGATATTGAAGAAAGCAGTCTTCTGGGATTTGGCACCGTGTATGTGTGGTGTTACCCGACGTTTCGGAGGAATGTATCGCCTCCGAAACGTCGGTTAACACCACACATGCACGGTGCCAAATCCCAGAAGACTGCTTTCTTCATAGTCACCGCCGTGAAAGCCTCAAATCTTACATGGGAAGATATTGTTTGGGAGATAGAGAAGTAAGTATGTGAGAGGATAATATAAAAATTTATGTTAGAAAAACAAGACGGGAAGAGTAGACAGTATTAAACTGACTCAGTGACGGACTTCTGTGATCAGGGTGATGAATCTTCGGGTTCCATAACACCAGAATCGTAAAGGAAGGAAGGGGGGGGGGAAAGAGAAATGCTTATAACACTTCTGTTGGAAAAACTGAAGGAAAGAACGCAATTGGGAGACCTAGGTGTAGATGAGAAGATCAAACAAAAAAAACTCCGTGGCCTGTAGTCCACAAGCGAAATATACCGACTTGTCGGCAAAGTTAGTGCCAACTTTAGCGGATAGAGGGTGTCACGTGGTCAGCGCAACGAATCCCCACGGCCGCTAATCTCGGGTTTCTAAACCGGAGCCGCTATTTCCTTGAAATAGCTTCTCAGTTATCCTCATGAGGCCGAGTGGACCCCGTTCCAGACCCACTACTTCTCAGAAAATATGGTAGATAATATTAAAATAAATCTCAAATAGAATATGAAGATGTGAACTAGATTTAACTGGATAAGGATATAATAAGCTTTAGTGTGGGCTCTTGTGAGCACGATAATGAAATTTTGGCTTTTCTAAAACGGGGATAATTTCTTGATCAGCTTCTCACTAACATTGATTAAGGACAGTGTAAGTTGGCAGCTCGTCTGTGAGGAAAGCAAACCGCTCCTAAGGGCAAATCTGGCCCAGAACGAAAGGCATTTTACCAAACCTTTCCTCTCCCCCATTCATTCTCCCCACTCTGTTATAGGCGTGTGGCCATTTTGTTTTGCCATGACTCCTTATATGCTTGGTTGCCCTGATGATATGCATCTTTAGTGAAGGCCACGCCTCTTGTTAGCTTAACAACAGACTATTTGGTTACGACCGCCATATTAGTTTTGCAAGACGGGAGTAGGACTATACTCTTCCGTTTAGGCGCTCCAAAACCTATTGTGAAGAAGTGGGGGGGGGGGTTCTCAATAACAGAAGGTTACTTCTGGACACAGGAGCGTTTAAGTGAAAGATTCTTGAGGGTTTGTCTGCCTGGGATTTCTGCCTTACAGCCTATACCATTTTACTGACAGAACTAACAGTTTCTTGTGCGTCATTTTCATGAAGTACACGAAATGAACGCATAGTGAGACCATATGTGATTTTCTGCCTGTTTCATCTTCCAAATTACTTGACGGATTTCGAGGAAGTTTGGTATTTCAGGAGGTCAACTACGATTCCTACCTTACATGAAGCTGAACTTCATTAAAAACGTAAAGTTGTCGCTGTGCTTAATTAATTAAGCACCATGTCTTGAAGACATATGGAGAAGTGGAGGTATAGCTCCACCAATCTTGACCTCGACACTAGATGGAGGTGAGTGGTCAGCTTCATGTCCTTACCATTTTACTCCCCCCCCCCCCCC